CCAGGCTGGAGTGCAGTGGCATGATGGCATGATTCAGCTCACTGCAGCCTCCGCCTCCTGAGTTCAAGTGATTCTCCTGCCTCAGCCTCCCTAGTAGCTGGGACTACAGGTATGCGCCACCACACCCAGCTAATTTTTGTATTTTTAGTAGAGACGGAGTTTTACTGTATTGGCGAGGACAGTCTTGATCTCTTGACCTCATGATCCACCCACCTTGGCCTCCCAAAGTGTTGGTATTACAGGTGTGAGCCACCATGCCGGCCTACTTTCCTGTTTTAATGGTACACTAATAAGTTAACCACGTGAACAAAAGCTGTAGGAGAAAGAAGAGTTAATTTATAGGCATGAAAATAAGCCTTGGGTAATCTAGAAGCTTTAAGTGTGATAGCTTTAAAATGGCTCTGTTATAGGATATTAATGTTAATTAAACTTCATGCTTCAGAAACCCTATTTGAAAATGATGTATAAACATAAGGTTTGCTATTGTATCTCTGAATTCAGATAATGGGATTTAATGAATCTCAAAATTAATGAAGCAGTGATGTAAGTATAACTAATATGAGACATAAAATAATTATGTTTTATTGTTACAAAATGGTATAATATAGTGTTTTCCCTTTTGCTATAAGTTATGATTGTCATATTAAGTAGGGTAATCATATAATTTGTTATCCAACAAGACCCTTTTGAGAATGAAAAGAGGCACTGCTAATAGTTAATTCTGTGACAATAGGAATAAGCAGAGCTGTCCTGGAAAACAGAAACCTTCATATATGTTCGACACAAGTCTCAAGTAGCACCTCCTTCTACAAGTAAACTTTATAGCAAAATCTAAATTTAAGTGGTTTTCTTTTTTTTCTTTCTAATTTGTTTACAGGCATCATGTTTATCATAAAAGCAAGTTGTGATCATATTGATAGTATTTTGTGGAATTAATTTTGTAAAATCTCAATTTTTAAGTATGCCTACTGTGTTTTTTCTCACCATACAGGTCAAATAAATTTGAATGTAGAAAAGTAAATTCTTAATCATAAGCACTGTCTTAATCAAGTATATTCATATTGTACTTTTCCTTTTTTTAGCACTTAGACATTAATATTTTAGATACTGTTATTTTGATTGTCCTTTTGTTTTATTGCCTTCCAGACAAATTATGAAAACAGAATATATAGCCTGAAAGTAGAATGTGGACCTAAATACCCCGAAGCTCCTCCGTCAGTTAGATTTGTAACAAAAATTAATATGAATGGAGTAAATAATTCCAGTGGGATGGTAAGTTAATTTGTTTTTATAGAACATAATATAAAGAGTTATATATAATTGTACTTACATAATATATGTAAGATATGAATATGTAGTTAGGAAAATGTTTTTAAAAGAGGAACTTTGTTAAGCCAAAAGTCTAAGAAAGGTTGCATTGTGTTATTTTACTTTTATTAATATAAATTAGGCCATCCTTAAAAACTTTAATGTACTTGCCTAGAATACATGTATGTGGTGGTTAGAACTTTTTTTTTTGTTTTTTGATGTGGAGTCTTACTCTTTTGCCCAGGCTGAAGTGTAATGGTGTGATCTTAGCTCACTGCAAACTCCAGCTCCCAGGCTCAAGCGATTCTTCTACCTCAGCCTCCCAAGTATCTGGGATAACAGGTGCCCGCCATCATGCCTGGCTGATTTTTGTATTTTTGTAGAGATTGGGTTTCGTAGTGTTGGCCAGGCTGGTCTTAAACTCCTGACCTCAGGTGATCCTCCCGCCTGGGCCTCCCAAAGTACTGGGATTACAGGTATGTGCCACTGGGCTTGGCCAAAACGTTTCTTAGGGTTTTAATTGTCTCAGTAGTCATATTCAGCTGATCCTTATTTGGTAAAAATATGACCATTATTGGGCCGGGCACGGTGGCTCGTGCTTGTAATCCCAGCACTTTGGGAAGCTGAGGCAAGTGGATCATGAGATCAGGAGTTTGAGACCCGTCTGGCCAACATGGTGAAACCTCGACTCTACTAAAAGTACAAAAATTAGTAGGACGAGGTGGCAGGTGCCCGTAATCCCAGCTACTCCAGAGGCTGAGGCAGGAGAAGCACTTGAAACCAGAAGGTGGAGGTTGAAGTGAGCCAAGATCGTGCCACTGCACTCCAATCTGGGGGAAATAGCAAGACTATGTCTCCCAAAAAAAAAAAAAAAAAAAAACAAACCCATTATTTCTCTTTGAATGTTACTTTTCTTAGGGTTAAGGTACATTTGGTGGGATGAAAAGGATGAATATTTATGAAGGATATTTTTCTTTGAGAAACAAGTATATCTGTGTTTAAACAGTCATGGCTGAGCATCGTTATCTATTTATTTTTGGGTTTCACTCTGTCCCCCAGGCCAGAGTGCAGTGGCGCTCCCCTCCTTCCCCGGCCTCAAGTGACTCTCCCACCTCAGCCTCCCAAGTAGGTGAGACTACAAGGCACATGCCACCAAGCCTGGCTAATTTTTGTATTTTTTGGTAGAGATGGGGTTTTGCCATGTTGGCCAGGCTGGTCTCAAACTCCTGACCTCAAGTGACCCACCTGCCTTGGCCTCCCAAAGTGCTGAGATTACAGGTGTGAGCCACTGTGTCCAGCCCATTGTCTCTTTAAACAAAATGACATGCCCTGCTTGACCTACACAAGTTAGTTGGTAGAAACAGCTGAATTTCCAGTATTGGAAATTCAGATTGTTAGGGTCATGATAAGACTTTTGAAGCCCAGGCTCTCTTTGGTGCCATGTTGAGAGCACACCACATACAAAATACATTTTAGGAGGCGAAATAACATATCATCATCATAAAATGAGTATCATCCATCTTAGGAAATAAGACCTCAGTATTCTTGACTTCTCGTCTTATCCCTGTGTTCCCTCTGTCTACTAACCTGTTTTGTACCACAGATGTTTCACATCTGTACACAAATTCATCCCCCTTTCCTCTCTCCCTCTCTCTTTCCTTCCCATCTATTTACCGTCTGTTAAAAATCACAAGTTTATATTAACAACTCCTGCTAACTTTATTGTAAAACTATAGGGTTTATTTTATGATTCTTCCTTTCCATATCTGTAATTCTCTCTTCCAACACTGAGAAACCTGGCTTCCATGATTCCCAATGCATTTACTTATTTCTCAGTTTCCTCTGCATGTAAACTGTACTTCTGCATGTAAGTTGACTCCTGGATTCAAAGCCAGCTTCCCGCCCCTCAACCCCAGCCCAATAGGTAGGTCTGAGGCGGGGCCCCAGATTGGCTAGTGCATCCAGCAGGGAGGCACCAGGCCAAATAAAGCATGACCCTGAGAAAGGAGGAAGGTGGGAAAGGTCATTGGGAACCTCAGCCATGCACCTCGTGGGCCATCAGCACTTCCACAGGCCTCTCAACCCCCGGCCCCTTGCCAGCTCAGAGCTGGGACCTGAGAGTCTCTCCAACCCTCAGTTTGTTAGTCTTTATGATTTGGTGGGAGCATGTAGTCCATTTACATTTAATATCCATAATTACTGACATGTTCAGGTTTAAATAGACTATCTTAGTTGGTGGTTTCTATTTTTCTACGTGTTTCTTACCTAATTTTGGAATGGTTGTTCTCAACTTCTTTCATTCTGTTTGTGTTCTTTCACTGCTTATTCTAGAAATTAAGTACACATCATTTTTAAGAAGTTTGATGGAAGCAGGATTATAATGCATATGACTGTACAGAAAGGATATTATTTAGGGAATTTCCTGTGTGACACACAGCATTGCCTCTATGAAGATCTTTGTTAGATTTTGCTACTAGATGTATCTGTTTTTCTTCATTACTAGTTTGTTTTTACATTATAGCTTCTGTAAATTAAGTAACTAATGGTGTGTTCTACATTGCCATGGGAGCTAGGAAATTCGGATTAAATTTCAGACCTACCTCTAATAAGCTTATCTGATCTCTTGAGCTTCTGGTCCATTAGCTGATATGGACCCTCCCTCTCTACCTCCCTCCCCCCAACCCGTCTATCATTAAGCCTTGTCAGTTTTATGTTCCACGTGTAACTTGATTTAGGTCTTATTTTTCTATTTACAAAGCCACCAAGTGAATATTGGCCATCATTTGTTGTCTGGACTCTTGCAACAACGTCTCTGATCTACTTTTTTTTTGAGACGGAGTTTCGCTCTTGTTACCCAGGCTGGAGGCGATCTCGGCTCACCGCAACCTCCGCCTCCTGGGTTCAGGCAATTCTCCTGCCTCAGCCTCCTGAGTAGCTGGGATTACAGGCACGCGCCACCATGCCCAGCTAATTTTTTGTAGTTTTAGTAGAGACGGAGTTTCACCGTGTTGACCAGGATGGTCTCGATCTCTTGACCTCGTGATCCACCCGCCTCGGCCTCCCAAAGTGCTGGGATTACAGGCGTGAGCCACCGCGCCTGGCCTTGATCTACTTTTTAAAATCCCGTCTAATCCTTCCAAAGCCAGCAGCCAGAGGGATCCTTCTAAGAGACGGATTGTGTCATGTCATTTCTGCACTTCAAACTCCTTTAGGGATGTCAGCCTCAGTATGCATGCTTCTCGCCATGGCTCACTGGGAGCACTTAAGGTGCACACTGGCTTGCATGCCTTTTGTTGGCCTCAGGACCTTTGCACTTCTCCGCTTCCTCCTTTCTCTCCAGTCTGGCTAATTCCTGTGGGTCCTTCACTTCTCCCTGCAGATTCCACATCCTTTTTTATTGAGATAGAGTCTTACCCTGTCATTCAGGCTGGAGTGCAGTGGCACAATCTTGGCTCACTACAACCTCTATCTCCTGGGTTTAAGTGATTCTCTGGCCTCAGCCTCCCAAGTAGCTGGGACTACAGGTGTGTGCCACCACACCTGGCTAATTAGAGGATGATAGAACCAACATCTATGTGTCCTCCACCTGGCTTTGTCAAATCTTAACGTTTGTCTTATTTGTAACAGATTTTTTTT